TTAACCATTTTTAATATTATTTTGTGTCAGATCATTTAATCCGTTACATGAACATTATTCTTCATGACAATTCGTTAAAACTACAGACTTTTAAAATTTCCGATTTATTTTCCTGAAACAAGCTACTGACACAACTTCAAGCGTGTAACTTCGTGAATAAATTCCTCATCTTGTTTTGTTTAAATTACCCGTGTATTTCCTCGTCATTATCATCCACCATTAATCTTCTTGGCATGGGTAAATCAACTGTTTATTTTAATCCTGAAGCCTCACGCCATTATAGAGCCATACATCTGCATGTCAGATTGTCTTTTTTACCCCATATAGTTTAAAATGTCAGAAAAAGACGTTGATCAAGAAAAGCAATCCTTTTAGTTCAGACTTTAAAATTCAAAAACTCCCAGGCACTTCTCTATTTTTCGTTTTTTTTCTTTCTTAATTTTTGAAAGATTTAAGATCTTCTTTGGCAACAGCTGTTGGATTTTTAATCCAACTCAAAGCTCGGTTGTGAATACCGTTTGACATGGCAAGTGCGTTGTTCCTATTTTAGATGTGCGTGCTATACAATCTTCAAACTCACACAGCCATGACCATATGACCAGAGTTAACTTGAAGAAAACAAATATCTTCTCGATTTCTTCCTAAATAAAATGATGCAGTTTTCCTCTTTCCCACGGGTGTTGCTTTTCTCAGAGAGCCTAACCCTCAAATCCAGTTGTTTCCCCCCTGGGAATTTCTACCCGTATTTTGACGAAGAAACCCGTTACACACACACACACACACGCACACGCACACACACACACACACATATATATATATATATATATATATATATATATATATAAACATGGTGTGAGAAAGAGAGGGAGAGAGACAGAAAGAAAGAGAGAGAACGAGAAAGAGAAAGATATATATAGAGAGAGAGGTAGAAACAGGTTTGGTTAGAAAAGACAGAAAAAAAAATTCTTTACTTTTTCAGTTAACGGTAATAATCCGACGAATGTTAAAAATTAATGAACGCATATAATCTCCGAATGTTTATGATAGAGCGCTCGGCCATATTTCTGATCATTTACAAGATCTGAGGGTGTAATGCTCTAGTGCCTGCTTTCAAATTCAAATACTTTCTAAAATCGACGTTGACCATTATGAATTAGATGACGTCTTAGACATGTGACTGACATACAAGACTTCATTGCTTCCACCTATCGTCACTTACTGAATACATTTAAAACTGCATTTCCAACGGTTGAAGGAGATTTTGCCTGTTCACTAGCTACTTGATTAGGTCGTCCGTGGAAACGACCCTATGTGCCATCATAGGATTTTCGCTTGCGCATTTATTAGGACTCACAAGACGTTACTCTATATGTTTCCGTAATTCATTCTTTTGACTACCGGCGGCTCTGTAATAGTGCATTAAAGATCAGTAAGTCTTCTGTCCCTCCTCTCTTCACTCAATTTGAGGTGTTAACATCTGCTGATAGAGTATAATGTTTTGCTCGTAAATTCTCTTGCATTTCTACTCTTGACTCATCTGGAGTATATTTGCTTGAGTTTCCACTTAGAGCTGAGTCTCTATAGTGTGATATGCATATAACTCCGTCCATGCTTTCTGCTATTATCTTTAAACTTGATCCCCACAAAGTGTGTGAACTTGATGCAATCCTTGCAATAGTACGTAAGAAATGTGCTCCAGAACTGGCTCCTGTTCTCTCTAAATTCTACGATGAATACCTTGCTGTTTTTTGCTTTCCAGTTTGTTGAAGATCCTCTTCTGTAGTTCCAGCCTTCAGGAACTTATCTGGGCCGTCTGATTCTTCTCTTTTTGACAAAGTACTAGCGTTTCTAATCAATTGTGAATTGTTTAAGTATCTCACATTGCAGGGTCTTCTTTTAGATAATCAATATAGTTCGCTTCTCTAGGTCACCTGCTAATGTTTCAAATGTTGTTACTGAAAGAGTCTATTGAGTTTTAGATAAGAATGGTGAATTTCTTCACGAGTTGAATAGTTATATTTTTGGATTAATTTTTAAATTGATTCAATCTTTCTCATCAAATCGCAAAAACTTGAACGGCTACTCTTCTAGGCCATTTTTCATTAATGTAGGTCCCCCCCAGGGCTCTATCCTTAGATCTACGTTGTTACTAATAAATAAGCCCTTTGTGGGTGTGTGCTGTACTTGTGAGTACAATTTGATGTATTTCTTTAAGGCATGGGCTACCAGGAATCCTTTCATTGAGTCTATTGGATCTTTCCCAATCAATCCAAGGGATCCAACTGCAACTGGAATTGTTGATGTTCTCATGTTACATATTTTTTTTTAGATTTCCACTTCAAGATCCTTGTATTTTTATAGTTTTTTTGAAGATCTTCAGAGATACGTTACAATCTTCAGGGACTGCCATGTCAATAAGAAAAAAAAACATTCTGTTTTTGTAGTCTTTGATCACGAAGTCAGGACGATTGACTTTGATTGTTCTGTCTGTATGTATTGTAAAGTCCCATAAAATGTTTACAGATCCTATCTTTGTAACCAGGTTATTATTATTATTATTATTATTACTATTATTATTATTATTATTATTATTATTATTATTGTAAATAATCAACTATTTATTTGATGGTTTTTATAATTAAATGCTAAATTATTCAAATAAAAAACATTTAAATGTGTTAAAATTATTTACTGATTGATAAAACGTATTGAAATAGTGTAATATGCCATTTAGAAACTAAGTAGAATAGTAAGGAACAGAGAAATCGTGCTGAAAACAAATAGTATAGGGCTCAAACTGTATGTAATATCAATCCTTTTATATGTCAGTGAATACAGGAAAATTTCCTCGCAGATGAAGATAAAACTTGAGCCAGTAGAGATCTGGTTATGCAGAAGGTTGCTGAGCATACCATGGATGTAGTATGTAAGTAACAAAGAAGTTTTAGGAAAAAAAGATAACAAAAAAAAGACATGTATAATTAAAATCAGAAACATATAGTTGACATTTCTAGTACACATAACGATGAAAGAGGTTTTGTGCAATGTGTATCTTTTTTTTTTTTTTTTTTTTTTTACAGTGAGGTTCGCCCTTTACAATGCCCGAGGGCACATAAAATAGAGGGTTACGTTTGGAGGTCATTTTTGTGTATAGGAGTGGAAGATAACGGTTAACCTTAGCCTTGAACAGGTTAAGATTGTGGTGATCAAGGGGACAGCCTATTGGGAGTCGGTTCCACAGGGAAGAAGGTTCGCGGGAAGAAGCTGCTGAAGTGGAACTTACTTCTCACCAATGGAATACGGGGGAAATGTGGCTGGTTTGCTACTATGTAAGTGGCATGGCGTGTTCTTGCTGTGAAGGTATGCCTCGGAGGGGATCAGGGAATGTAGGTCATCGGAGCACTTTCCGTGGAAGCAGCGAAAGACTTGCCACATCCCGCATGTGGGAGAGAGGTTGATGGGTGGAGAATAATTCGTCACCGACAAGAGCTCGCAGACGCTTTTGGCCTATATCAAGGATGAAGGGTGATGTCTGGGCAGCTCCCACCCAAATATGGCAAAGGTACTCCATTTTGGCCTGATCTGGCTCTTGTAAAGGTAGAGGATAGCAGGAGGAGTCAGGTACTTACTGGAGCGGTACAGAAAGTCGACCATTTTACCTGCATCCTTAGCAATGAATAGTATGTAAGAGTTCCACTTGAGGTCGGGTGTGAGTTTGAGATCCAGTAGACTTTCAAGGCACTGTGCTTCCTTGAGAGGACTACCGTTTATCCTGATTGGTGGTAGTTCGGGGTCATGGCGGAATGCAACTAGCTTGGTCTTCGAGGCATTGTATATAACCAGCCAGTTTTTACCTCATTGGGTAGTTTGCGCAAGATCGTAAGAAAGATCAGTCGCCAGTCTTTGACCATTGAGAGTTTTAGAGGTGTTTACATATGATTTGAGTATATTCCTAGGTAAATTATTTATGTAGATCAAAAAGAGGGTTGGTCCGAGGAGTGACCCATTGGGAACACCTGCGTTGACTACTCTGGCTCCGGAGAACTGGCCACTGATTACTTTCAGGAGCCTACCTGTTAGAAAGGATTTTATGATTAAGAAGATTCTTCCAGTAATTCCATAACTGGAGACCATGTATAGTAAGCCTTTGTGCCACACCTTGTCGAAGGCCGTCGAGATATCTAGTACTATGGTCGTGGAGGTGTCGTCAAGAGCCTCACTGGTTCTGTGAGTGATGATAGAACGTCGGCAGTGGATCGAGTCGACTGTTCATCGCTGAAGAGTTTGTTCTTTTCCAGTTGCTCGAAAAACCTTATTGATTATGGCCTTAAAAATCTTGCTGGTGATACTGAGGAGACTGGTGGGTCTGTATTGAGAGTGGGAAGATCGCACGCGCGTGTCCTTGAAAACCAGGCATACTTTTGACACTTTCCACAGGCTTCGAGAGGATTTCTCCTTCAAGTAGGGATTGAATAATTTTGCTAGTATTGGGGATAATTCCCTGTTGATGTTCTTAAGAACAACTACTGGAATTTTGTCTGTACCAATGGCTTTCTTCGGGTCAAGGTCTTTGAAAAGGCTAGTGACTTCTCGTGCTGTGATGTTAATATTTCTGAGATCGTACTCAGTGATACGTGAGAACTTGGGGAGGGGATGGTCTTCGTCATCTAGTGTTGGGTTAGAGGCAAAGATGGAGGCGAAAGGGTTCGCCTTATCTGTCGAGGACAAAGGGGATTGATTGATTATTTGACTGATTGATTAATTGATCGGTTTAATTGATGCAGGTTATCAAAAACAGAAAATATTTTTAGATTGTAAACATTTCTTAGAAATAATAATGATTTACTGAGTCAAGTCCTACGAATTGACCCATAGCTGGGGGAGAAGAGGTGGATTCATACCTTTACCAAGTGAATATAACGAACCCAACTGGAATTGGAACTCGGCTTTCCGATTAATAATTCCGAGCCGTTATCCATTACACTACCTGTACATCCAAGCTTACAGCACCTGGTATTCCCAAGTGGACACCCATCTTGTTACTGACCCGGTTCGATGTTGCTTAACTTCGTTGATTGTACGAGAACCGGTGTTTCAACGTGATATGGTCGTAAGCCGAAAGAAAGACGAGCAAACAGAAATGGCATGTAATCTAACTAACGTGCTTGTGTAAGTGTACGATAAAACAAGGATTGGGAGGGTTAAAAGAGACAAACGTTACTTACAAATGATAGGAAGTTGTGGAGAGCCATAATAGTCCACATCATAAAAGCACTTGAAAGAATATCGCTAGAATCAGTCTTATGCCTTATAACGATCAATGCTTTTAAGCCTGAAATTTTACACCACACACACACCCTAGATCAATTGTTTGGATTTATCTCCCGTGGAGTCAAGAACCCTTGTGTGCACACGATTTGAAAAGCCGATTGCGACCTCCAGCAAAGAAAAACATCCGCCTATCAGTTGAGGAGAGGCAAACATTAGTTTTATCGCCAAAGCATATCTCTGGCTAATCGACTGACCTCTGACCTCCTGATGTAGCTATTTCCTTTTGGAGTTCACATGGAATTAATGTACTTCGTGGGGTCTGCGTTATACCCATGGCATTAATTCCACTGATGTCAATTAGTCTTTTTAGGTCGAAATGGGATCCTACCACATCCCCATCTCACTCGGTCGTAGTGCCCGACTAGTAATTATTCACACTAGACACAAAGTTTACCTTTATCTACTGTATTCAATCGTGTATAAGTCGACAACAATAACAGCAGTAGTGACAATTGTGTTTTCATAATTGCTCTTCCTATTCTTATCAATATCATAACATACTCTCTTATTTACCTATGTATTTGCGATGTACGTCACACTTCCTATATTTCTTTTAAACGCTTTGGTTTTACTATAGTACAATCTCCCAATAGATAAAGAAGAGGCTTCAAGCAACAGAAATGTGGTTCTACAGAAGGACGCTGAGAATACGATAAACTGAAAATGTGAGCAACAATTGTCCTGGAGACAATGGCAACAAAAAGTAAACTTATATATAACAGGAAGAGATAAGTGAAATTTCTGAGGCTCATAAAAGAGGAAAGAGGATTTGGAAAATTTGACACTCTCAGAACATATTGAAAGTAAGAGAGGTAGAGAAATTTATCACACAACCTATTTAGCGAGCTTGAGGAAATGGCTGGCGGAGCTAAGTTTGGAAAATATAGCAAAAAGACAAAAGTTATTAAGAGCTAAAAATTAAGAGCAAGAAATTGTGGAGAGCCATGATTGCCAACCTCATGAAGGGAGACGATACACAGAAGAAGGAGATGCTGTTTATCCACGGATACATTAAGTGCTCTGTGAAATTTCTTTTTAAAGGTCTAAGTGCCCCACAAGGTAGAGTTACTGAATGAGGTTATATTAGCGGTAACTAGATTGGCGGTAAGGTCTAATCATTTTACACTTGAAATGGCAAGATGTAACCGTAAGGTCTATGCTAACAGTTTCTTCTCTCGCACTTTTCACTTGTCTCGTCCCGCCTCAGTTTCTTGCTTCTTAGTCAACTTTCATCTTCAAAAATTTAAATAGGATGTCAATCGTTATCTTTTGACTTCTTGTTTTTTTTTTTTTTTTTTTCTGAACATTTTATTAAATAAATAAATAAAACAACCTTAGATCAGACACATTTTACATAGATAAAGCTCTTCTTAAGGTGTGAGCTGTACTTGCGAGAATAATTTATTTGTATTTCTTTAAGGCCTGGAAAACCAGAAATCTGTTAAATAAGTATATCGGAACTTTTCTAGTCAAACTCAGGGCCCCAACCTCAAATGGAGTTAGTGATCTCTTCATTATTATTATTATTATTATTATTATTATTATTTTTCTTTGATTTCTGGCGTTTACACATTTCTTTCCGGGTCCCGCCTAGGGACCTAAGATTAGAAATGGCATCATGACACTCTCCACTGACAAAAAAATAAAAAAATAAAAAAAATATTACATAGATAAAGCCCTTCGTAAAGTGTGGGCTGAACTTGTGAGAACAATTTTTTGTATCTCCTTGAGGCATGGACTTCCAGGAATCCCTTAAATTAGTCTACTGCAATCTTTTCCAAACAGTCCTAGGGCTCCAACTACAACAGGGATTGTTGATGTTCCCATATGCCACATTTTCGAGATTTCTATTTCAAGGTCCTTGTATTTTGACAGTTTTTTGAATATCTTCAAAGATACATTGCAGTCAGATTATTATTATTAGTAGTAGTAGTAGTAGTAGTAGTATTATCACCAGCATCAAGTCATTGATACTAAGATTTAAATCTGGTTCTGTTTTCCTGATTTGACCTTCCGTTTTCATCCTCGCTTTCATTAATGAACATTATCCTTCATTGTCTTTGTTTCGGTCACAACCACAGCAATTACTTGTGACCTGTTTTTGATTAACGTTCTGTTTCCGGTTCAGAGTTAATAACTCATTCTTGTCTCTAAGATCAAATATAAATCGAATAATACATTTCCGTTTTTCCGGGAAAGAGAGAAAGTGAGAGAACGGGGGGGGGTAGAAAGAGAAATAAAGAGTGAAGTAGTGGAAGAGATTCTAAAATGATTTCTTTTTTTCTTATGAGACGAATTATTCCAGCTGTAGCTCAATGGTTATAACAATGACCGTATACGCAGAGACAGACGTAATTTTATCTTCAATTTCGTTTTCATAGCATTCATTGAAATTTTTTAAAAATGGTATATTCGTAATAATTCCATGACATTTCTATTCCTTTAAGTAACAAATTTATATTAAATTTACTAAGCCTGCATAATGCTGTTGAGCTATTGATCGAGCGATCGATTTACCCAACAATGTATCCATTTACTGATCTAACATTATTTCTTATCAGTATAAAAGGTATTTTTAGTCGGTCTAGTTGTTTGACTTGACATTCCTATCAATTAAACACTGAAATTAATATCAACCGGCCGAGAAACTGAAAAGTCGGTAGAAATGAAAAATATGCATCCCGACAGTAAAAAAAGGGAATACGGGTTCGGAGGGAGTATATTTTTCGTTAGTCACTTCTTATCGATTTTAAATTTTAATTTCAGTCTTAAAAAATAATACCAGATATGTCAACTCAAACACCTGTACTCAATAAAAATAACGTTCATGATAATATATATATATATATATATATATATATATATATATATATACACACAGTGTAAACCGGATATAAGAGAGTTGTCGGGACCAGAGAAGAAGTCTCTTATATCCGGGTTTCTCTTATATCCGGGTTTGGTCTATTTTGTTTAGGTAAGTATGGGCTCTAATTTGGGATCAGAGAAAATTTCTCTTATATCCGGGTCTCTTATATCCGGATTACACTGTATATATATATATATATATATATATATATATATATATATATATATATATATATATATATATATATATATATATATGTTTCATTAAAAACGACAGAAGGTACTACGGTTAAGCTTTTTATTTAATTTTTCTTGTGTTCGAACAACAGCTTTCTTTTCTGGACAAAGAGTGTGTAAAAACTGTCCAAATGTTTTATATTTCAGAGCGCTTTCCACTATACCTTTAGCCATTAGTGTATGTCTTAGTGTGTAGTAGGGATGTTTTAATTTCCGAATACGGTTAGCACATTGTGGCCTTGTTCGTAGTTAATATTGTTAAGAGTTGGGTTTTTTTCTTTTTTATTATTAAAGCTTCCATTATTTGTAATCTTTTTTTGTAGGTGGATGCAGTTAATATATTTGTTTTTTCTACTAGTATGTTTCCAATGGAGTCTGGTAAGTTTGTGTGTTTAAATGGGTTCTAATGGAGCTGTGATCAGATAGGTGTAACGTAAGCCGTCTGGATAAGGATGTAGTTGTGTAACCGATGTAATTATTTATGAGTCCGGTTTGATCAGGAACACAGTTCCTTAAGGAGCATTTGAACTCATAGATAATGTTCGTTCTTTGTAATTTTGACTTAGCTGGTGTGTTGTTATTTTTGAGGATAAGGTCAGCTGTCTTAAATGTTTTATAACAGATAATTAATTATGTAATTTTTGCCTGTGTGTTCAATATCGTTATTACTTACTTTGGGGAGAAATAGTCTAATTTGGTGGTCTATAAGGTGGTTAGGGAAGCCGTTATTGATTAGTGATTAGTGTTTGTTTAACATTATTAAGTTCTTTGAGGAAGAGTAGTTTAGAGGATTAATTCTGGTGTGCTCTTTTTATAAAAAATTTAAGACAGCTAACCTTATCGTTGAATCGGTTGAGCATCTACCATTTTTGAATAGATACCTTCCACCCTCCTCTTACCAACGTCTCGGGCATTTTGTCTGGCTGAGACGTCGATTCGTATAGGTTGGGTATCAATTTCTCGATTGCTATTTAAGTTAAATTCTAAATCTCTGATTCCGATACGAACACAATCCATCCACCAGGGTTGAATAAGACCAACGTACTTAGTGTTGGTTGAAATAAATCTATACCCAAAAGGTAATTTGGGATTTTTTGGTGTGTCATTTATATATGCATGTAAGTATATATATATATACACACACAAACATATAGATATAGATATAAAGATACTCGGTGCTGAATACAGTATCCACTATTTTGGCTATATATATATATATATATATATATATATATATATATATATATATATATATATATATATATATATATATATTTTATATATATATATATATATATATATATGGGGTATCAATGAATTCACTATACAGTTACATATAAAAAATCAAAGCATTGAAGCAGGTGCCTTGCAGTTCGAACAGTATTGATAAGTATATAGAAATAACGTCGAGTTCTATATGGGCAATCAGACACACATACATATTGGGGTCCATGAGCATATATGCATATATATATATATATATATATATATATATATATATATATATATATATATATATATTATCCGGGTTAAATCAGTTGTGCCCTTTCTCTTTTAGACAGATACCTTACACCCTCCCCTTACCACCGACTCGGGCATTTTGTCTGGCTGAGGCGTCGATTCGTGTAGGTTCGGTATCAATTTCTCGATGGCTATTTAAGTTAAATTCTAAATCTCTGAT